TCTCTCTCTCTCTCTCTCTCTCTCTCCCCCCCCCTCCCTTTCTCCCTCCCTCCCTCCTCTCTCCCTCTCCCTCTCTCTCTTTCTCTCCATATCTATCTATCAGTCAATCAACCAGTCAATAGAGATATCTCCTATTGGTTCTGTTTCTCTGGAGACCCCTGACTGGTACAAAGACATAGCAGTGGAGCTGGTGAGAAGTGGGCAGGTTCTGGATATGTTCACAAGGAGGGGCTGACAGGACTGGCAGATTCATTGGATGTAGGAAGTGAGAAAGAGGAGTCCAGGATAAGTCAAAGTTTTTACTTGGAGCAGCTAGAAGAAAAGAGGTTGCTTATGCTGAGATGGGAAGTCTGCCTAAGAAGCAAGTTTGGGGGTTGGGGGGCAGCGAGGATTGTGGGGATTAAGAGTTCAATTTTGGACACTTAAAGTTTGGAGTTGTCAATTGTCAAAAAGGCAGTTGAATAGATGAGGCTGGAATGACCATATCAAGTTGGAAGTCTTCAGCACATCAGTGATTTGCAGATAGCATTTAGATGTCTGAAGTCTGAGTCCTGGGGCACTCCAAAGTTCAGAGATCAGGAAGATGGAGAATCAAGAAAGGAGAATAAGAAGGAATAATCAGAGACAGGAGGTAAACTAACAAAGGATGGTGTTCCAGAAGACAGATGAAACATGTTTCAAGAATGAGCAACTTTATCAAATGCTTCTAAAGTGGATAAAATTAGGACTGAAAATTGAGCAATGGTCTTGGCCGTATAGAAGTCAATGGCAAACTTGATAAGGGGAGTTTTGGTAGTGTGTGGTGATCACAGCCTCTTTGGAGTGGGCCCAGAGAGAAAAAAATAAGACAGCAAATAGAGACAGAAAAATGGGGCCATAGCTGAAAGGAAATGTATGGTCAAGGGAGAGATGTTTTAAAATTAGAAGATGTACGTATTTGTATGCTCATGGGACTAGCCAAAAGAAGCCTGCAGCATAAACTGAAATTTGTTTATTCCGTAAAGGTCAAATCACTTTGGACAGCTCATTTTGAATAAAAATCTGATCAAAGAGACAGTAAGAAACATGGGGAAAAAAACCAAAAAACACAAACTTACTAAACTATTTAAATCTTTCTCTACATCATTTGAAATACATATCTACTAAACCATAAATTTCAAAAAATAGTCCCAGATTCACAGGGAAAATGATGTCTATTTCACTTACTACTTTTTACCCAAAGCTTAGCACAATACCTAGGACATTGAAGGCTCTCAGTAAATGTTTGTTGAATGATAAGTGAGTGAATGAATGACCAAAGTAAGCACTGCACTGAACTTGGAGATGCTCAGGGCACTGAGATAGCATTTTTTGAGGGTGGCACCCAGGTGCAATGAAATATAGGAATATGTATCTAGCCCTGATACAGTTTTAAAAGATTTTTCTTTTTTACAGAACATGCATTTTAAGCCATGTTCTCTTTTCCCATTATTTGAACATTATTTGAACATTATTTCCCATTATTTGAAACTTAATTCCTATTAGGAGTTTCTCTGGTACATGTTTATAAAGCTACAACTCTGTTTTATAAACACTTGCCACCAGTGATTGTAATAACAAGAAAATATAAGTTCTAGAGTTTTATGCTGTCAGTGTATGTGCAGCCCTCTTCTGTTGGCCTCGTTAGATCCATTTTCTACCTTCCTCCATCCTGCTGTTGACCCCGGGAAGTTGATCTGAATGGACTTTTCAAACAGGCTCCTAGGCCTTTTGACTTCTCTTGAGCTTGACCAATAAGGAACTCGAGCAGGAGAGCAGAATCAGGGCATGAGGTCAAGGAATTCATTCCAAGCAGAAAGGCTGTCTGTGTCTCTTAGTCGAAGGTCACTGTTTTCTAAGGTGGCCTGTTCTACCTGACCATCTCCTTCCTGGCTCCAAATACCTCTCCCCACAGTTGAGTCTCAGGCCTGGGGTATGACAGCCCAGGGGCCCCTTATGGTTCCCGCCCTGCTTGCATCTTTATAATAGCATCCTTATTTATAAATCTTCCTTGAATTATTGTAATTTGAATGTGCTATCAGATTTATGATGAGACCCTAACTGATATAGTACCCTTAATTCATAGTTAAAGCATAGCGTCCAAATCCTGTTCTGAAAATTTTATACCTACAGCCTTTACGAAAATGTTCCCCGATGATATTCTCATCTCTGATTTCAATCCGCTAGTTAACTTTATGAAGAAATCATGTTGTATGTCATCGGATATAAATTTTTTTCAGGTACACTCAGACTAGAAAAAATATTCTCAGATTCACAGGAAAATCTTTTTGCATATAGCTTCTCTACATAAAACGTAATCTTTGGAGATGTATAACTAAGACTCCATAAAGTATGTAGGTTAACTTTTAAGGTTTTAAATAGTTTAATATCTAATAATCTTTAAATTACTTCTAAATGTGTAAGGAAATCTGTACCTCAGTACTGAAAACAAGCCATTATTACTCAATACACACAGTTAACCAGGGAACAGTTTCTAACCCTTTGCTGTAGACTAAAAGTTTGTGTCCCCCTCAAATTTATATTTTGAAGCCTATTCCCTAGCGTGATGATATTAGAAAGTGGCGCCTCAGGGGTGACTAAGTCATGAGGATGGAGCCCTGAAGAATGGGATTACTGCCCCTGTAAAAGAGACCCCTTTGGAGATGTGAGGACACAGTGAGAAGAGGCCATCTGTCCAGGAAGCGGGCCCTTCCAGACACGGAGTCGGCCAGTGCCTTAATCTTAGATTTCCCAACCTCTAGACTGTGAGAAATAAATTTCTGTAGTTTATAAGCTACTCAGTCAGATATTTTTGTTAGAGCAGATAGCCCAAATGAACTAAGACACCCTTGAAGCTCAAGATTTAAATGTACAATTATTAGCAAACATCAGATCATTAAAAAATATAAACCCCAGAATGCTAGTACCAATATTAAAGATAACCGATACTTATTGTTCAGTTACAATGTACCAAGCACTGTTCTGACGTTTTCATATATTGTTTCACTTAATTCTCATCAGAAATGTATGAGGCGTGCACAACTCAACCCCATATGACAGAGGAGGAAATGAGCCTTAAAGCCTCCTGTCCACCCCCACAACACCAGCAAGCGAAGGACCCTGAATTCAAATCCTAGTGTCCAACACAAAAGTCCAAGTTTTTAAACACCAGTAAAGATTCCAAGAACAACATCATAGACCACAGAAGAACTAAAAAATAAGAACTTTTCAAAGCAAATGATTTCTTTTATCCTGCTACCTACACTCAAACAGCAATGTCTAAATCTATGTAAGCTTAGAAAAATTACTGAAAAGCAAAAGAATGCAACAGATAACTCTCATAGAAAAGCAAATTTTGTGTTGTTCAATAAGCTTATGTTTCTGTGCATGGTACGCAAGGAGGAATAGAAGTCAAGTGGTGAAAATTATACCATTTTGGTATTAATATTTTTCCTGCCTAGAATTCCTGAAATGATACTGTTGCATTCTTATGTTAACCCAAATTGCAATTAAGTGAAAACTTTCCTCTGACATATTGGCATATATTGGTCTGAAGTTTAGCAGGTACTGGTTACTTTATGCATACAAATAGAACACTTTCTGTAAAAGAAATTGGGCTAAAAAAACCTGATCTAGAGATAGTAGAATTGATCTGCTTAATAACTCTTAAGGGAAACCAATTTTTCTGCAACTGTGATTTTACATAACAAGTTGCAAAAGTATTTGAAGATGAGACTGTTGCTCAATACTCACTTCTGGTAAACCCCTTTTTGCACCATGGCCCTGTCCTGCGGAACTGATAAAAGTGAAACAAAAGCATCAACAGAAGGTAACCAACCAATAAGCCGTGACTTTCACAGATAATAGTTTAGTCAAAAGACTTTAAATATTAGTTTTGAATTTGAATCATTAAATTAGTTCTCAACAAGTGTAATTTTCACAACTAGGCTAAACAGTTTTACGTTCATATAATTTGTGCTCTCTGTTTAGAAACTATATATTTCTACTCCCAACAGCCTTACTTTGGGGCTGAGACACGGTTTTCTTCTCATTTTTCTCCTCTTCCTCCATTTCATCCCCTTGCTGCAGCTCCATGTCTTTATCTGTCTTACTTTTTCCTTTAACACACTTTTCAGATGGATTGAGTCCTTGCTTGAATACGGTTTATAATTTCTGTGAGTTCATGGACCACAGCCAGCCTCCCTCTGGTACCCTAAAGAAAATTTAAAAGTACAATATCAGCACCACAACAAAACAAGAATGTTTCAAATGATGAAGATGTTCTTTAAGATGAACTTACTGAAAGTAACCATGAAAACAGGCTGCAATCTGAGCAGTGAGCTCACAAATTCAATGCACAGTCTTTCGTTGAGCATGCCTACCTCTGGGATGATGATGTGGTTGAGGAGAACCTGGAGGAGCTGACAGATGTTCCCCTCAGTCTGCAGCCCTTTCTTGCTTGTCTGCCCTGAGGGTGAGGAGGAATCTTTGCTAGAGCTGACATGGCCTTGCATCACTAGCTCTGCATGTTGAAAGCAGGCCACTCCAGCTGGTGATTTCTTTAAACCCTATTTTCTACAAGGTGGTGATGGGCGATGGTGAATTATGAAACAGGAACTTTTGCCACAACTCTACATCCCTAGTCACAAAGAAACATTTACAAAACAAATGCCCCTTACAAATCAAAATTGATTACAATGCAAATGTCAGTGGGGGACATAATCTATTCACACCTTATTTTTTCATGGTCCTAGTACATCATCTCTCCAATTTAAGTAACATGAGTGGGCCTCTCTTCAGGAAAAAGAATGTATGGCACCCAGTACTGACAAATCATTTCTACTCTAATATTACCGGAATATAATACATATACAATGTTATTTACAGAGACATGGTATAAATGTCTGGCTACAGAATATAAAATCCAAACCAATCTACATATTAAAAGTATAAAATTAATAATATTAAAATAAACATTGATTTAATTTTGTTTTGATGAAGTAAAACCAAAAATCTTTTTTTTAAAATAGAAAAGTGCATTGGGATATTTTGTATTTCACTTATTACTATATTCTCTTTATTTTGAGGACAATAGATACTCATTTGAATGATCCTCATCACTACAATGATGTTTTCTTTTTAAATATACATTCATCTCGAATCATCAATCCATGGATTTTTTTTTCAGCTTTATTGAGGTATACGTGACAAGTGAAGTTGTAAGATATTTAAGATGGAGAAAGTGTGCAAAAGATATATGTATACATTGTGAAAAGATTCCCACCATCTAATTAGCACATCCATCACCTCCCATATGTATCTTCTTTTGTGTGTGAGAACATTTAAGTTTTGCTCTCTTAGCAAATTTCAATTATATTATACCGTGTGAACTATAGTCACTATGTTTACATTAGGTTCTCAGACCTTATTCATCTTACAGCTGAACACTTGTATGTTTTTACCAGCCTCTTCCCACTTCCCACACCCCAGCTCCTGGCAATCAGTTTTCAGCTGTTTCTATGAGTTTGACTTTTTTTTTTAAGTCCACAGATAAGTGACACCATGCAGTATTTGTCTTTCTCTGTCTGGCTTATTTCACTTAGCGTAATGTCCTCAAGTTCCATCCATGTTGTTGCAAACGGCAGGATTTACTTTATTCATTCATCTGTTGATGGACATTTATTTCCATATCTTAGCTATTGTGAATAATGCTGCAGTGAACATGGGAGAGCATATATCTTTCAAGTTACTGTTCTCGTTTTCCTCAGATAAATACCCAAAAATGGGATTGCTGGATCATAAGGCAGTTCTAGTTTTAATTTTTTGAGGAACCTCCATACTGTTTTCCACAGTGCCTGCACCAATTTGCAACTCCACCAACAGTGCACAAGGGTTCCCTTTTCTCCACTTTCATCGCCAACACCTAATATCGCTTGTCTTTTTGATGATGGACATTCTAACAAGTGTGAGGTGGTATCTCATTGTGGTTTTGTTGCATTTCCCTGATGATTAGCGATGTTGAGTACCTTTTCATGTACCTGTTGGGCATTTGTATGTTTTCTTTAGTGTGGATGAAAAAGAGGCCACATACTAAACCTGACAAGCTCAGGGGAGGTCAGCATGATGAGTTCTATAAACTCAGAGACTAAAATTAGCAACATAAGATGGTCTGAACATAAAAACTCCTAACTAAAAGCAGGTCATGGCGGGTTGTTATATCCTTGGCCTGTAGCTTCCTTAGCAAAGGTCAATCTTGACCTTAAGTGAGCCTGTCTATTGTCTTTTTTGCATCTAAAAATAACATACCCTTGGAATGTCAGAGTAAACCCTTTTTTCAAAAGTACCCCTCAGGGCACAGCCAACTTCACCACAGCCAATTTGGCTGAAATAAAAGTATTAAAATTCTCTACAGGTTTGGACATTTCTTATGTCAACATTAGGAAATGTCTGTTCAGTTCCTCTGCACATTTTTTAATCAGATATTTTTTTGCTATTAAGTTGTATGAGTTCTTTATATATTTTTTATATTCACCCTCTATCAGATATAGGATTTGCAAATATTTTCTCCCATTCTATATGTTGTTTTTACGTTTTGCTGATGGTTTTCTTTGAAGTTCTAAAGCTTTTTAGTTTGATATAGTCCCTCTTATTTATTTTTTCTTTTATTGTTTTTGCTTTTGGTGTCAAATCCAAAAAATTATTGTAAAGACCAATATCAAGGAGATTACTCCATGTTTTCTTCTAGGAGCTTTATGGTTTCAGGTTTTATATTAAAGTACCTAACCCATTTAGAGTTTATTTTGGGGTATGGTATAATATAGGGGTTCAGTTTCATTGTTTTGCATGTGGCTGTCCAGTTTTCCCAACACCATTTATTGAAGAGACTACCCTTTCCTCATTGTATATTCTTGGCTTTGTCCTAAATTAATTGACCAAAGATGCATATGTATATTTCTCTGCTCTCTATTCTGTTCCATTGATGGATGTGTCTGTTTTTATGCCAGCACCGCATGTTTTGATTACTATAGCTTTGTGAAATAGTTTGAAATCTGGAAATGTGATGCCTCCATCTTTGTTCTATCTCAAGATTTCTTTAGCTGTTTGAGGTCTTTTGTGGTTTCATGCTGTCACAAGCACCTGGAAGAACAGTTGCTACATTTCAGTCTCTTCCTGAAAGTCAAGGGGACATTAACCCCTCAGCAGGGCCCTACGTCCCTGCGTGGTACTTGTGACGTGAGTGGGGAACAAAGTCCTGACACACAGGCTCAGATAGAGAGAGGAACAGCTTTATTGGGGAACCAATGTCCCTCCAGAGGCCAATGCTCTGGTAAGCACAGAGGTAAATACAGGATAGAATAAAATTTAATAACGAACCAAGTCCCAGAGTCAATTGAGATGGAGAAGGTCCCTGGTCCAGGAGAGATGATTGGGCCTCAACAGGTCTGAGGCAGCTGGTCTTGCAAGGAAGAACTTCGGAGAGTCCTGGAGTATCATGGCTTGCACCTCACAGAGGGTCTTAGCCAGAGCACCCAGTCAGACTGCTCATGGCACTGCTCTCTAGCTCTACTTTTTTTTTTTTAAGACTTTATTGGGGAATTGGGGGAAGGAACAGCATTGGGGAATTGGGGAAGGGGAACAGACAAGTTGCTGTCCTTTTGTCCTTCAGTCTAGTTGTGGAGGATGTCACTTCACTAGCCCATGTTGGTATTGTGATCATTGTGCTCTTCCCGGCTGAGGCAGATCAGTTGCTGGCCATTGGATGGCCGCTTACAGTAGCTCACGGCAGCTCACGCTGGCTGCCGGCCACTCACGGTAGCTTATGGCAGCCCACTGCAGCCTACGCCATTGCAGGCCACTCACGGAAGCCCAGCTCCAGGTCGAGTTGTTGTTCACCATCTTAGCTGTAGAGGGCGCAGCATCACTGGCCCATGTGGGAACCAAACCAGGGCCCTGCTGCTCAGAGCTCCTGCTCCCAAGCCAATTCTTAACCAACGAGCCATCGGCCGGCCCCTCCAGCTCTACTTTTATCCTCGTTTCCTTAGACTTGTTTACCTCTGAGGTGATAACCAGAAGTTGTTTTGGCGAACGTGTTAATCACTCAATTTTGTTATGCTCAGTTTCACACATATACATAAACATGTTTACTTTCACTTCACTCTTATCAGTCCCACACCTACTAGTAAACGACTTGTTTTGCAAGCCTCAATCCAAAAACAACCTTGTTTATAAACAACTAGTAATCAAGCCTCAAGCCAATAACAGCCTTGTTTATCGTATATTTTATATGCCCTACACACATACACATTTTGGAATTATTTGTTCAATTTCTGTGTAATATGTTGTTTTCGCTTGCTGCTTTTAAGATTCTCTCTCTGTCTTTAACTTTTGACAGTTTAATTACAATGAGTCTCAGTGTGGTTCTCTTTGGATTCAGCCCGGTCCTGTAGGTGGAAAGAATAGCACCCGAGAGGAGAGGGGGTGAGACAAAGGAAGGAGGTGAGATCACATTTAAGAAAAGGTGCAACTACAGCTAAAGGTAACAGATTACAATACTATTAGCATTGCAGGCAGGGGAAAATCTGCACCCCATGTCACCATGAAAGTTCCAAAAAGGGCAAAGTAAACACAAGGGAACCCTACCTCCTGACAGGAAGGAGTGGTCAGCAAGAACAGCAGGGACCCACCACCCAGAAAACTTGACTGTTTCATGCCCTCATTCAAATAAAATCCTAAGCCTCTTTGTTCTTCGGTGCCATGGCCCTCCTCCTGGCTGGCCCACTCCCATTATTTTGGGAGTTTACTCTTTTTCTCTAATAAATCCACTGCTTGCTTAGCTTTGTTCTCATGACTCATTCGACACATCCTTGAATTCTTTCCTGGGACAATACAAGAACCCTTTTTTTGGTCAGTAACATATGCTTATAATGAGTCAATAATCTTAAAACTCTCCCTATAATAAAATACTAAAATATAGGTTTAATTTAATGAAAATGTCTTTATTGACTATTTATGATCATATTTAGTGCTAATGAATTGAAATACTGTATGTGATACATCTCCTCTCACATGTGAATGTAGTATTATAACTGGAGGCACAGATGGAAAACACACAAGGTGAGCCCGGTTTGTCTCAGCTTATCGCTTTGAGAGAGTTTCCAGCACATGGCACAGGGAAGAAGAAACCAGGCAGATTCCCTGAATTGAGGAGATGAAGATAAATGTCCAGGGAGACCAAGGTGACTAAAACTCATGGGGGGCCGGGGGCAGAGAGAGAGAAAGAGAGAAATAACAATCCCAGGAGATCTGCACAGAGTTCCCCTGAGTGTTCAACAGAGGGCTTATCAATGCATGCAGGTGAGAAAACTACCTGGAGCTAGAGGCAAAACCACCTAAAAAGATTGGAGGGAACAGTAACTGTTACTCACACAGGCTGTAAATAATGCCTATGCCCACTAGCCAGACTGGAAAACCTCATAATTCACTGGGTAGTGCGGTCAGAAGAGTTTTGCCTCAGTAGGATAAAACTGTTTTCAACGAATTTAACA